GTTCAAAAATTAAAAAAAAACTACAACGGCTTTTATCGAGGGGGAGGGGGGGGGGCAGGAAATTTAAAATGTACGTACGGACCATAAAAAGGTTGTGTCAGAATGATTTCGTACGCCTTCATAGTCAGCAGGCCGGATAGGTGAACTCCAAACTTCCATAAGGTGGCCTCTTCCATTATATTCTCCACAAGACCATGCCATCGCTTTGCAGGCGAGTCCTCCTCCTCTTCGGTCGGGTTAGGGTCAGTAAAGACAAAAGAATCCAAATTGGAGGGCGGCGGAAGGGAATCCCTACTGTGTTCTAGCAGAAAGCGGCGATTCATAAACTGACAGGCGTCCGTGAGAAGATCGTAAAAAAAGCGGGCCTGAAAGCCAGTGGTCATTACATACCAGAAACCCCTTTGATGAAACAGATACCGGGCGTAGGCAAACATATTCGGATAAAAATATAGGGGTTTCGTCCAACCAAATAGTGTTAGTGGATGAAGAGAACGGTAGGGAGGAAGGGGTTCGTAGCCCAGCTGGATCAGGGTGCGGGAAAACCGAATAGGATTTATGAGTTGGCGCACGAAACATTGTTCAGGACTGATGGTGTGCAGCTGCCGATCAAGGTGGTTGTCTGTAAATTCTTCCATCGAAGAATATACCGCTGGTACTGCCCAGAGTTGGCTGCAAAAGAAACACAGGATAAGAGCTAGTTTACTGTACAGACAGTCGCGAACCTCATTCAAACTGCATTGAAAGAGGAGTAACGGCAAAGTTATTTAAGGGCCTGTAAAAATTAGTGATTAATATTTGCACTTCCTCTGTTCTGTCTCCGTAATTCCCTGTAATTTTGATCCCTTTGAACATGAGACATGATTATAATTTGACACTACAAATGTTACATTAGTGGTATCTTAAACTGATTAGCCTTTTAAAAATGCCTGCAGTCCAGAAGAAAGTCAGTTTCCGTACAAGTACAATAGTAATGGGAAATGAGAGCGCATTTTTCGGATGTCACCTTTGCTAAAGACCGAAACACTATTGCAACAACAAAATTCTACCGACAGCAAAAAGTTGCCCCTATGGGGTCACCAACATCCGGCTGTCTGGCGAAGGCTGTCATGCAGATATTAGAAGCTAGAGCCCTCTCCGCAGTTAATTCAAGATTGTGGCTACGATACGTAGACGATATATTTGCCATTTTCAAAAGAGACCAAATGGAATTGCTTAATCAAACCCTGAAGGAAATCAGTTTACCTTCGAAACAGAGACAGACGAACAACTCACATTATTAGATGTCAGGAAGACCGATGGGGCACTCCGTACGTCAGTGTATCATAGGCACATATACTTCGAGGTCATTTTACATCTTGGGAGTAAATATCCAATGTCTTGCAAACGCAGCTCTATCAACAGCTTGCTCAGTCGAGCAGAAACGCACTGTTTAAATGAAGAAGCATACCGAACTTACTTGTTACGTAGTGTGGGTATCGGACATCGACTTAATGAGGGAAGTTTGAGTACGGGAGGGTCCCCAAAAGCCGCACGGATTGTTTGTTCGGGATTGTCTCCTCTAGCGCTTTGGCTCAATAGCCTAACTACAAGGCAGCGGTGGCAAACGAAGTTATTTGATGGCAGTTAACGCTCGCCATGTCACAGCACTGTCAGTGATA